GTGCAACGCTCGGTCGACCCGCACGCTGAGACCCGCATACAGCGCGGCGGACCCCGTCCGGTCGCGGCTGGGGCTCCGGCCTCGGCCTCGGCCTCAGCCTCGACACCGGCCGCCCCCATCGCGTGAGGTACACGACCCCTTGTAATTATGCCAATCTCACATAAACAGCGGCGGACGACGGCGGGCGTTATCGACCGGCGTGCGGCGGGCCGGCCAAGATCCGGGCAAGCGGCCACGGCCGGCGCGAGCCCGGCGCACGCCCACGGCACCGTCTGTTTTGGCGCCTCCAGACGGCCCACTCGGTCGGCGGGTGTCGAGTTTGCTTCCGCCACCGCGGATTGTCTTCGAGGAAATGACATGACCCCAGAGCGACGGCGCAGCGGGGCTGTCTTCAGCTACAAGGACGGCCAACGCGGAGCCACCCGACTGCCCTGCCTCGGAGCGGCGGGACCGTCCCGTCCCGTCCCGTCCTCGCCTGCACCGACTCATCACGTCGGGCTGTCCCGCGTGCCCGTCTCCGCCAGGGTGTCGCCTGCGCCGCGTGCCGGCGCCGCCGTCGCCCGGTCCCCGGGGGCCGGCCGGCTATGTTGTCGGCGCCGTAATGACATTTGGGCCGGGCCGGGCCGGCACACCGCCGCCGGCGCCGGGCGGCCCGACGCGGCACGGCACGACGCCGCCGCCTGCGCCGGGCCGCGGCTGGTCCTGGTGAGACGACCGGCGGCGCTCGATTACACGTAGCGTCGTGACATGGTCAATCGTGTAATTTGAAGCGCCGCAACCCGGCCCCGCGTGACCGGTGAGCCCCTTGGGCGTCACTTCAAAGCTGGAAACGACTTGACGGAAGGCGTGCCACACGTGCTGCTTTGGGGGCGAGCCGACAAACGAACCGACATTGGCTAGTTTATTTAGTTCATTTAGTTGGTTCATTGGCAGCAGTCATCCGCTGCGTGACTATAACAACGCAGCTCTCGAAAGCAGCACTCTAATCTATCGAACATTATCTCGGACTAATTTTTATCGCCCGTATTAGCTTGACTTCGAGCCAAACTGACGGCTGACAGCAGTCTGTAATTGGAGCGTGGCATTTCCGCTTCGCCTGGATTACTCGCAGCCAGCACAGCCGATACCCTTTGCGCACTTCCGCTCCGGCGGCGCCCACGGTTGGGCGGCAGCTGACTTCGGCCGGCTTAACACGGACACGCCAGCGCGTCATCAACAAGAGCAAGATCACCCACGTACCCACCTGATACCCTTGAGCAAGTGCGAGTGGTTCCCTGGCGCAGGCGCAGCAACAGCCCGACACGCATCCCAGGATATGTGCTAAGGATGTTTCCAGAACTATGGCCGAGTGACAGACTTTCCCAGGAGCACTTTCTCATGAGCACGCCTTCGGGAGGAAAGCGTGCATGCAAAATACGCATTGGTGCTCTTTTTAAAACTTGCGGTCACTGTCACAAGTGAGCTGAATTTCACAGAATAAAGGGAACGTTCCACATTTTGAAGGAAGCATCAGATAGATCTTGCAAGATCTCGAAGGAAGTATCAGATATGATGGAACAAGTTCGCTTATGACTACTGGTACAATTCAAGGTGTGAAATACTGCTCTAGACATCACAATATCTCGATTCAGCAAATATGCTCCTAAATGCGAAATGCGTCTCCGGGGGGAGGGGGGGGGGGGGGTGCCCACGGGTACGGTGTCTCTGGGGAGGCGAGTGCCCGCGGGTATGGTGTCCCGGTGCGAGTGCCTGGCGAGGCGAGAGCGAGTGCCTGCCCGCCTGCGCATTTACGGTGCTCTTGGCCTGTCATGGCGGCGATGGCTGGCAGTCGGGTGATTCGCTTCAAACCGGGGCTTCCACATGCCTCCGTTGCACTTTCACACCGGTCTCTGAAAATTTTGCTGCCACTTCCACATTGAGTGTAATAAACATTACACTAATGATGATGTTACTGATACGTAAAAAGTAAAAGTAAAGGCGGTTTCACGTCTTTTGATGGTACGCACAATCTTTCGGAGTTGGGATCAAGCTCCAGTCACGGCCCGGATGTGCGAGGAGCCGTTTGGGAACAGCATGACCCACGCTAGATAAGAGAAATCACCGCAATGCAACCTTGTTTTGTGCGCTTTAACATTCGGACAGAACAGGTTTTTTTTAACTTGCTCTTGGAAACACGGAAGACCATGGCGTGTAACATTGCAGTTCCCCGTCAGAATCTGCCATTGCGTCGGCGGTCACCGAAGCTGCAGTTCCGTCGCTGGAAAGATTTGCACAAGTTTGCGAACAAAGACAAGCTGACACGACTTACCCAAGCCCTAGCTTGGGTTCCTGGTTTCCAGATCGGGTAATAACTGCCAACAGTCTCCGACTCACCAGCCCGAGTTTTTCAGCTACAACGTGTGGAACGAGTACTTTGTGCATGATCTTCCCCGCGATCTCCATTCTTATTTTACTAGCAATTCTTATTGCTGAGCAATTTCCCAAAGCGAGACCCAGCAATGATTTTACAAATCTATTTGAATGATTGAGCCTGCGGTGAACTTTGCGTTACTCCCGCGGTGTATTTTCGGGCAGTCATGCTTAAGTGATTCGCCACTTCCACACACACCGCGCGTACGCGGCGCGTACAGGTCAATCAACAAGCGCTAACCGGCGACACGGACCCACCTTCACATTCCCCGCCCCACCTTCGCGCACGTTCTGGAAAGTAGCGTGGAAACCGACCGCACCCCATGAGCTGCCGGCGGCGGCGGCTGACTCGACACATCCGGAGCTCGCCCCAGGCGCGTAGGGGATGGGGTGAGTCGGGGTGGATGGTGGAGAACGGGCCTGAACGGCTGTTTACAACGATAAATCATGTCGGTGCTTTGAAAAGAGAGGCCTAATTTGGCGCAGTGTTCCTCCTCTAAACAAGCGAGCAACTCCGACGCTTGCAGGCAACAGATGCAGCCACACGTGCCCGCCAGCTAAACTCGTGGTCAGGCGACAGTTGTAAGAGTATCAGTATGGATGAAATTTTGCTTAAATGACTTGAGTGCATCTCCCGTAAATATGCTAACAGACTTCAGAAAAATACATCAAAACATCTGGGGACCACCCTAATGTTTATTCAACAGCACTTACGACACAAAACTGAAATACGATGTTACAAAATCTGATATTCCACGAACACTGAAAATGCACCTGTCTCCGACAATAACCACGCTTAGTTCAGCATATAACCAAGACACCTAGCACCCCAGCTAAGTCGGCGCCTAACCTGAGCTTTTCTACATTAACATGCCGGGACAAGCGGGAAAACTCAGAAGTTATTCATTCAGATTGATAAGTGAGTTATAACTACTTTATTGCCTGTCAATTTCTCCAGCAACTTGAAACCACGATCACAAACGGCTTCATTTACATGGATACGTTTTAATGAAACTAGAACCGTCAGCCAAGGACGGCGTAGTTTTGCAGAGCCAGGTCGAGCCTGTCCTCCGGGCCGACGAACCTTGGGTGCCTCCAAATATTGCTTTCTCCTAAGATTCGGACCACATCACGTTCCCATTTGAGGAGCATTGGCACGCCACTTCACGGTGCTTTGGCTTTGCTAGTATTTCTCGGGTCTGCATCGGTGTGGTGTTAGGGCGCACAGTGCTGGAGAGGGGGGGGGGGGGCATCTGTCGCGTTACAAACACTGAGCTTCAACTTGTGACTGCCGTCCCTTAACCCTCAACAGAGGCGCCACTTCAAAAACAAATGTGGGGGCTCTTGACAGTAACTTGAAGCTTCCCTGAAGGCCTTCTTGTCATGCTTCGCGATACGCCTGTTAAAATATGGAAAGATTGAGGGCCCCCGGCCTCAAAAGTGTATATGGGGATTTCCGCTAAAAATATCTGGTTTGTGCTGAACGTGTGACATAGCAATATGCTCCCAGATGACAGCACACTCCATTTTGGAAACAAACGGTAACATGTTTTGCTGTGCGTCAAATTTGCTCCACGGACATACCAATACATCAATGGGCAAAGCCATTGCAGTCACGAAAATCGATGAGTTTTACGCACGTGCGTTAAGTGTGCGTCAATTGCACGCCAACTACGTGCAGACGGCAAAAACACACAGCGTGGTCACTTCCGTCCAGACCTGACAAGCTTGTCATACGAGTTACTGCAATCTGCCCACCAAGAGCTATGAGTCACGTCTCCGTCGTCCCTGTGCAGTTACGCTCTAGCACATCGGCTTTGGAGGCACTATCGGGGTCGTGGCAGCCCCGTGACGCCAAACATGGCGGAACGCCCGGTGCACGTGAGTGTTAAGTGATGTCAAAGCACGGCTATCTCACAATATGTGGGTTATATATGGGTTGCATCACATCAACTTCTAACAATGCAAAAGTACTCAGACCATAGAGGCGGCTTCACAACCACCAACACGACACACAAGGTGACTGATCACTTACCGTCCGACCAGTGAACGATCTATGAGTGGCGCCGCGTGTGCAGCACCACTGTAATGGCCCACTGTACTGTTCAAAACGGGTGCGGTACCGCTCCAAGCGAGCCCATGATGGTCGGAAAGCGGGCGTTTCGCGGAACAGATGCTTCCAGGTGACCTGTGACGCATCACAGGTCACATCACATCACATCACATCATGTGATGTGATGCTCCGGGTGCGGATCCACCGGACGCTCCACTGGCACTGGCGTGGCTGTGAGGGGTGCAAGATCTGGTACCAGGCTTGTGATGATCAGGGAGCATGATCGGGCAACGAACCTGTGATGCTCGCGGTGTTGAATCTGGTAAATTGCCTGTGATGTTGCGGTGCGGGATCTGATCAACATCCAGTGATGCTTGGGGTGCGTGGATCTGGCCACTGACATGTGATGCTGCGGCGCCGGGTATGGCCGACAAAGAGTGATGCTTAGTGTGCAGGATCTGGCATCCGACTTCCGAAGCGCGGGTGCAGGACCTGGTGGCTGGCCTGCGATGCCCCTGTGCGGGATCTGGATACTGACCTGTGATGCTCGGGGTGCAGGATCTGGTCGGTGCGGAACGTCTCGGTGACGTATTTGTGAAAGTAGGTGGGGAACGGCAGCTCCGAGTCCATGTCGTACACCAGACACCGGTTGTCCGGCTGGTACATGAAGATCACGTGATAGTCCTGGCGGGCATGGCACAAAGGCGCTCGGTCAATGGGCGCCGGCCGGCTCCGGGCGCGGGCGGGGGCGCGGCCGGCGCACCGCAGGTCGGCCCCGGTGAGGTAACGGCCCGCGGTAAGCCGGCGGCGGCACGCAAGCCGCGCGCGGCGGCGGCGACGGCCGGTACGGGGTCGGCGGGCCGGCCGCTGCCGTCGACAGGTCAGCAGTCACGACCCGCGCCGGCCGATCACAGAGCGCCAGCCGACTGGCCGGCGTCAGGCCGCCGCCAGCGGGGACAGCTCGGCCCCGGCTGAAACGGGCCGCCGGCCGGACGTGCTCACCTGAAACTAGTGATCAGATGCGAAAAGGCACCACGACTGCTCTATGGCAGTCACCGGCTGTCCCCTTCCCAAAGCCAGTGCATGAAAACGTTCATTTTTGTCCGGTCATGACAACGGTGCGGCTGCCACCATTTTTGCCCGTCGTATTGCGCAAAGGTCATTCGTTCGTTAGTTTTTGGAAGATGGAATTTGAATCGCCTTCGTCTGACTAGATGAAAATCTGCAACGGGAAGTTATCACGCTTGCTGTAATCGGAGGAGACGCAAGATGTTGTCCAAAACAAACCAATCTCCACAAATAGGGAAAGTAATACAAAAATGAATTATTTTGCAATAAAACAACACAAAACGCTTAAATATGAATTATATATGGCATGACCCACACGATGCGGTAACAGCTTCTTTTTATTTGAGCCTAAATAAGCTGCAACTGGTGAAATGTACATGGGATTATTTTATTTTATTCCAATGCGCCGAGAAATGATCGCGAAACTGGAGCCTTTTTTACATCCCAAATAGCATCAACGTCCATGCAGCTTGCGCAAAAAAAGAATCGCACGCATTCAGGCTTACCCAGCCACAAAACTTAGAATCAGATCATAAACATAAAGCTGGCAGCATAAGTGGTAGTGTGTAATATCACGACCCTCAAAGCCTAGAAGCGCTACTCCCAGAACTGTGCCGCATTTTGCCGCGTTATTTAAACTCTTACCACGTCGTCGGCTTGTCTGGCTTGAGCTAGGGTATGGGGAGGGACGGGGGAGCGTCGTAAAACGTTCACGAAACAAAGACCGCTTTGATTGCCTCACGTCCACGGGCCTCCAGGAAATGAAAGTCTGTGACGCGCCCCACCCCGCTGCATCCTATCAAACCAACGCGAAGCCATCCCACAAAACTCGCCGGCGCGACCGCAGCCGGTCCGGACAGTGGCGCGGCTACACCTCGCCCCCGCTGACGGCCGGCCGGCAGCGAGGCGCGTGACCGCCGTGAGCCGTCCCGGCGCCGGCCGCCTGAGCCCTGACCCGTCCCGGAGCCGGCGGCCTGAGCTCGGCGTACGCGGCGGGACGGCGGCGTCAGTGGCCGAGTCGGTGCGGCACAGAGCCCGTGGCCGGCCGGCCTGGGCGGGCATACAACAAACAAATCAATAGCGGAGTCCGACCCCGGCGTCCAGGGAGTGGCCACGCCCAGACGGAGCCGCCCGTTCTGACGGTTGCAGCGTGTCGAGACAGGCACACGCCCACACGGAGCAGCCCGTCATTAACGACTGCAGCGGTGTCGAGACAGGCACACGCCCAGACGGAGCAGCCCGTCATTAACGACTGCAGCGGTGTCGAGACAGGCACACGCCCAGACGGAGCAGCCCGTCTTTAGCGGCTGCAGCGTGTCGAGACAGGCACACGCCCAGACGGACCAGCCCGTTATTAACGGCTGCAGCGGTGTCGAGACAAGCACACGCCCAGATGGAACGGCCGGTTCCGACGGCTTCAGCGGTGTCGAGACAGGCGCACACGCCCAGACGGGGCCGCCCGCCCTGGCGGTTGCAGCGGTGTCGAGACAGGCGCGTACGCAGACGGAACGGCCGGTTCTGACGGCTGCAGCGGTGCCGAGACAGGCGCACACGCCCTGGTGGTACGCCAGTACCCAGACAGGCAAATACATCCTGACAGGCAAATGCAGCAGCATCGAAGCGAGCCAACGGCATGCCAGTACGGCGGCGTCGGGACCAACACACGCGATCCCGCAACACCGCAGCATAGAGACGGACACGGCCTGACGGGACAGCAGTGCCGGCGCGAGTCAACACACTCCGATGGCGCCACGGAACCGGACCAAAAACGCTCCATCCAGCTCAGCATCCCAGCAAAATGTAAGGCCATTTTCCAGCTTCACCAGGGAAGTTGAGACACCGCAAAATGACGCAATGAATTTTCGACGGCACGCGTAAAAGCCGTGCACGCGCGTTGCCTCCTTCACCGTGGTGGGAGTTCTGAGATCTTCGATGCAACGAATCCGATCCGGATCGATCGATACATACTCAGATGGGATCTGGTGACCTAGACATGACAGCCTCCGCGTGCCATGCTGTATTTGTTGGGCAACAACTTGAAACCCGCTCGGCTTAGTCTATTCAGGAGCGTACGCAGAAGTTTCATAAGACTACTGACATCTGGGCTGGTCAACAGTACGTCATCAGCGTAAATACATACGCTAGGATATCGACCAGTAGCCGATGCATCATCGCGTGTTGAAGTAGGATAACTGGGCGCAGCACATTGACATCCGATATGAACAACACCTTTTAGATGTGACAGCGTAGAAGGCGCGTGGAAGCGTAGAAAGCGCAAATATTTTGCGATTCTTCAGACGTTTTTCAGCTCCAGAACGCCCACGTTACGTCTAACGAGGTTACAACGTTCCATCCATCCAACGAATACAGGAAATCGGCACGGTAAGGGAGCTCGAACTTTTCGGTAGCAGGAGCTTAGTAATCTCTCGCATGTCTTGGACAGTGCGGAACTCGGTGGAATTTCTCTTTGGAACCAGCATGACGAGAGGATTCCAGTCGCAGGGTTCGCCCACAGCAATAACGCCACTGGCCTGTGATGCGTCTGTTTGATGCTCTAACGCCTTCTCTTTGGCGCATGGCTCCAGATGCGGTTTCGAAAACCGGAGTGGCTCCTTCCTGGCCTAAGCTCCAAATCCACATCGCCTCCAGCGTAACATACCGTGTCTAGATAACCGCTAGAAAACACTCCGGCAAATGCTTGCAACAAGGTCATTTGCTTGCGTGACGCTTCCTCGATGTCATCGCTAATCGCAAACTGGGCCAAGATCTCCCCTGGTTCCATGCCACGAAACTACAGATCGCTACTGAACACAGCGTTCGTGTCTGCCGTGCCGAAGTTGACGTCGGGAGGTGCTGCGTCAGTTTCGCAAGCGCCATCGGCAGGCTGCAAATGGCCAGCAACATTGCGTCTGTGATGCGTCACAAGTCGGCCTGAGCGATTCCTCACAGACGGCACTGCTCCGGTCGCTAGCCAAGTTTATGTCAGGTTCGAATTACAGGAAATGTTTCACATTTCAGGATATTGAGGCAAGCATCAGATACGATGGAAAATCTCACTTGTACGTGGTGGTATACTTCTGCATGGAAAGGACTGCTCTAGACACCGCAATTTCTCTTTTGAGTGGACGTGCCCCTCACTGCGTTATTATTTGATCGGGTCATCACGCATTGCACAGCATTGATCGAGAGCCAATCGACGGTCGTTATATCTGGAAATCGTGCTCGCGAGCGCCAGATGTAAGCGACTCGAAAAATACATCTTTTTGGCCTTGATCGCCGCATGGGCAATGGAATGACAGGATTTGAATGACGTTATTGGGACGTCATGGATGCCTGGGTGATCTAGAGTCTCCTCCAAATAGTCTGCACACCTTCGCGGACGTGTAGCTTAGAAACCAGGAGGGCTTAGGTTTTTAGAAATGCCGGGCTGTGCGTTGCACTCAATGATCTTCAAAACGGCTATTTCAGTTCAAACCCCCATACAAATGTGGAACACCCTCTTTAACGTTATCCCCATTGTCTTACGATAGCTTCCTGATGCAAATAAAATAGGATTTTTTAGCATTTGGGACAGCCGTCTCCCAGTACGCTACCGCATATAAAGAGGGCGAGGGAGGGGGTGGGCTATTACCAACCGTTTTCTGTGAAACTTGCAAACGACTGACCCGTGATGATGAACGAAAATTGGTTACAGGTTAAGTTTGTTTCTCATGACACACCTGCGTCCCTGACAGTCAGCACATCACAGCCGGTTCCCGGTAACGCATTTGGTCAGGCAGAGGCCAGGTCGGCCAGAGAATAACCGTGAATGATTCTGAATGAATCCTGAAATAACGCAAGCATAAATCGTCTACGGAAGTTCCGTCGCCTCGCAAAGAAAGCCCACAAGCACTTCATTTTTATATTTGTTTAGAATTATCTGACGAGCCGAAAACCGTTTCATGGTCTAACATTAGAACAACCCGCTGCCGGGTTCAACATTGTGACAATCCGCCTCAAGAACACTGAGAACGTTGTAGAACACAGTTGTTCACTGCCTGCGGCTCTCTAGGAAACGCCCAATGACTGTCGGGCGTTTCTTTCAAATGAACGTGAGCGATAACACCACTGCACGGGAAGACTCGATAGCTCGTCACACATATTGCAGAAACAGCACAAGGCTGGAAAAGACGATGCCACGAGAATGTTACTGCGCGGTAAGTAAGCTATCCGTGCGGAAAACATCACGTAATTACCTCTACGAGGGCGCAATTAGCCAAGCGAGAACTGTCGTCAAAAACCAGTGCTGTCCTCCCGTCAGTGCCAGACAAACAAACCAGCGCTGTCCTCCCGTCAGTGCCAGACAAACAAACCAGTGCTGTCCTCCCGTCAGTGCCAGACAAACACACGTCAACGGCGTGGCGGCATTCCGCCGCTGTTCACCACAGCAATTTGAGTGTGATGTGTACACTCCCCATGTCCCTGGGTGCGCCGTGCTGCTTCATATGGGCGGAGCCCCGACTTGTGGCGCTGGCAAACAGCCCGATGTCGCGGCGAACGTTTCGAACGTGTCGCCACACGGCAATCAATAGCATATCATACAGTGAGGCGACGCGGGAGGGTCCGTTAACACGCCCCGGCTGTTTGTCGTATCACCACGGCCGTAACGACTCGTATGGCCCGCAACGGCGCGGCGATGATCGATAGCGAGAGTGTCGCCATACGGCCAACGCCGAATCAACACGACTGCGAAATGACTCGAATAGCGGGGCCCCGAGTCAGCCGAGGGACACAGACAGGTGACATCAGCTGGCACGCGACGCGCCCGTCACGCGTGGCTGCCTCCGCCCCGTCACACGCTGGCGCTGGCAGCTCCACCGAGCCGACAGCGCGGTGCCGAATCACGCCCAAGTATGCGGATCGAAACGGGCCGTGGACTAGGGGCAGCGTGCAATGATATAAGCAATGCGCTCTCTGAGCCAATAGTAGCCTTAAAATACCGACGTAAGGGACAGCATTACATGTCATACGATCAGCTTGGTTCAGCGCTGGAAAACTCGGGTTTCGTGTGATTGAGAAATAGTCAGCTTCTGCGCTTTCGGCAGGGGAGGTCAGTACATGATGCAGATTGATTGCTACCGGCGTCATTTGCATCATTCAAACCTGAGTGAACAGCGACGCGTGATTATAGGATTGTCTGGCTCGTGTATGCTCTAGAGGCCCTGCAACTCTGATACGCCTCCGCAACAGCACTTTGGAAAACTCTAAAAATGAGACAATGAGAATATTTAACAAAGCCCACACACAATGCTGAGGAATAGCATGGAGCGGCTTCACCGGCTTCGGTGATGATAATCCTCACCCGGTTGCGACACGCATTGACCCAGATGCTGATACGCCTCACCCGGCTCCGACACATTGACCCAGATGATGATACACCTCACCCAGCTGCGTCACACGCTGACCCAGATGATACACCTCACCCAGCTGCGTCACACGCTGACCCAGATGATACACCTCACCCAGCTGCGTCACACATTGACCCAGATGATGATACACCTCACCCAGCTGCGTCACACACTGACCCAGATGATGATACACCTCACCCGGCTGCGTCACACACTGACCCAGGTGATGACGCACCTCACCCGGCTGCGCCAGTGACCCAGATGATGATTCACCTCATCCGGCTTGGACATGCACTGGCCCAGATGATGATGCACTTTACCCGGTTGCATCAAACACCGGCCAAGAGGATGATACACCTCGCCCAGCTTCGTCACACAATGACCCAGATGATGATACACGTCACCCAGCTGGATCACGCATTGACCCAGATGATGATACACCTCCCCGGCTGTGATACACACACTGACCCAGATGATGATACATTTCACCAAGCTCGGTCACACACTGACCCAGATGATGATACACCTTACCTAACTGCGTCACACACTCACCCAATGATATTACACCTCACCCGGCCGCGCCACACATTGACCCAGACGATGACACACCGCGCCTGGCTGCGTCACACACTCACCCAGATGACGACCTTGTCGTCGGTGCGGCCGGCGCGCTGTCGCCACAGTGGCACCGTCTGGTTCTGGTTCGAGATGAAGACGGCGTGACAGAAGGGCAGCTCCTGTGCGAACTTCTCTCGCACGTGCCGGCAGAGTAGCCAGACGTTTTCCTCGCTGCGGCAGAGGTCAAGCCAGGTCACGTCAAGTCGGCTCGCAAACCGCTGAACGGCTTGGCCCTGTCCTGAGACGTGCCTGGGGCGGTGCCTGGGGTGGCATCGGGTGAACGGGGCAAGCCACATTTGTCTGTGTATGTGTCTGTGTCTGTGTCTGTGTCTGTGCCTGTGCCTGCGCCTGTATCTGCGACTGTCTCCGTCTCTCTGTTTCTGTTTCTGTCTGTTTCTGCCTCTGTCTCTGTCTTTGTCTCTGTCTCTGTCCCTGCCTCCGCCTCTGTGCCTCTGTCACTGTTGCTATCTTTGTCTTTGACTCGGTCTGTCTCTTCCTCTACCTCTACCTCTACCCCTGACTCTACCTCTGCCTCTGCATCTGCCTCTGCCCCTGCCCCTGCCCCTGCCCCTGCCCCTGCCTCTGCCTCTGTCTGTCCCCGTATCTATCTCCGTCTGTCTCTGCCTCTGGCTAGGCCTCTGTCTCTGCCTTCTGCCTTCTGCCTTCTGCCTCTGCCTTTGCCTGTCACTGTCTTCTTGCCTTTGTCTTTGTCCTTGTGTTTGTCCTATTTGCTTGAAGACCAAAGACTGAGCCTTGCTGGACTAGGACATATGTCACGACACGAGGCACCACACTGGACTAGACGTCATGCGCCCCAGCCAGCCGCGGATAATGGCCGCCGGGCGCGGGCCTGTCCGCCGCGGCTCCGTCACGTCCTGGCCCTGATCAGCTGCGGCCGTCGGGCACCGCGCGCCACGACTCCTCACGGAGCGCGCACGTCCTGTGTCCAAACCGCGCTGACCTGGGCTAGACGCTCTCCGGGCCGACCGCAAAACAAGAGGGCTGTCAGCAGACGGCGGAGTCCGCAGACGCCACTCACGCCACCTCTCGGCCCAGCAAACTAGCTTCCGCTACAGGGAAACTTATCTAACAGCCGTCGCGTAACTTCTCGCGAAGTCTTCAGGGAACTATTGCGCTGCGCAACTTGTCCTGATAGGCTCGCAATTCTCACGACACGTGGAGGCAGCAGAAGGCCGTATTCACGGAACAGGACACAACTTTTAAGGGAAGCGTTTTGGACACCCGAGCCGGCGTCACGCACGGGCAGTCTGCCGTCAGGACACCGCTCTGCAGGACGGCCGTGCCGGCCGGCGACAGCGCGGCCGCAGCTCCGGTGTCACCGACACGGCCCGCTCTGTGCGTCGGCGGGCGCGGCGACACCGGACACCTGAGCCCTGAGCGCTGACGGCGACAGCGCGGCCGCAGCTCCAGTGCCACCGACACGACCCGCTCTGTGCGTCGGCGGGCACCTGACACCTGAGCCTTGAGCGTCGGGTGCCACCGGACACCTGAGCCCTGAGCTGACGGCGGCGGCGCGGCTGCAGCCCCGGTGTCACCGACACGGCCCGCCCTGTGCGTCGGCGGGCACCTGACACCTGAGCCTTGAGCGTCGGGTGCCACCGGACACCTGAGCCCTGGGCTGACGGCGGCGGCGCGGCTGCAGCCCCGGTGTCACCGACACGGCCCGCTCTGTGCGCCGGCGGGCGCGGTGACACCGGACACCTGAGCCCTGAGCTGACAGCGGCGGCGCGTCCCTCGTGCCGGCCGGCCGGGATCGATGCCCGTCTGTGGACGCCGCCGGGCCAATACCACCGCCCGCGCCGCCCGCGCCGGCCGGCTGGCACGGCTGCTGCGGTCGCACCAGCCGAGAGGTGCCCAGAATAGGCACGCGCCACGTGTCCGGCGGCCTGAGGGAAGTCAGGCCGGCCCCGGGTGGCGCAGTCGCTCCGTGAAATGCAGGTCAACTGTTCACACGTCGACGGGGGATTGTACTAAAGGAATGCGAACACACTGAAGCATGCATTTCTGCAGCGATAACATCGCGAAGTGTAGGTCCAAGTTGTCGCCCGAATCTACGTAGATGCATTTGTCTTCCGACTCATTTCAGGGAAGAGCAGTAATACGTGCATCAGTTGCAATTCCAAGCTGTAATAAGCCCTCTTCCCTGGGGCAATAAGCATTGGGGTATGCATGCCCCACAAAAGCACATACAGAGCCAACGGCGTGATATCATCACGAAAACATAGTGGAGGAACCCCTAAAACAGTGTAATCCAAGCGCAAATGGAGAGCGAAACATGAACGATAACTGCAGCCTGCCACAACAGCTGCTGGTAACCACAGCCGTCAATCCAAAGGTATGCGTCACGGAGCATGGCCAGGTATATGCAGCCCCAACGTCCGCCATTATGAGGCCCCATGCACTCAGTGGCCCGTCGCTGCCCGGCGTCATGTCCTGCCGGCCTCCTGCGCGGCCCAGCGCCACTCCTCGCCGCCCGCCGGCTCCGGCGCATCGTCTGGAGTCGGCGCTCGCGTGCCCGCCGGATGCCGGTCCAATCTGGAGCTACCACTCATCGGCACGGCCTCGGCGTACTGCGTCGGCGAATGATTGGCCCATCTGGCCGGCGACCGGTGATGGAGGCGCGCCATTGCCTGAGATGGGCGGCCGCGCGCGCCACCCGCCGACCACCGGAGCCTGAATGGGCCGGGCGGACGGCGGCCGCTGCGAAACTCCCCGAGGCAGCCGGCGCGCAGGCCGAGGCGGTGGGGTCACTCAAGGTGACGCACGCGACAGCGAGCGTTCGCCGCCGGTAAGACACGATACGGCGACCCACCAGCCAGAGACCATGGTGCGGTCTCTGGGCCTCTCTGTGGTGGTGGTATGAGGGTGTGTGGGACGCGTCTCTATTCGCTAGTGCAAGGTCAATTCCGGTAATCCTGCGCGTGGCACGCATCTGAGACTGCGGGGAATCATGATTGGAAGTGTCAAACTGGAATCTGGGGGGAAAATCTTACCTGCTGACACTTACAACAGGAAAACATGAAAACGTGCACTATACGAAAAAAATTGGAGTGAGACAAAACGCATTCTGAAAAAGTGGGGAGCGGCTAGGTGTCCCGCTCAGCCCCCAGCCCCGTAGTGATTATACCCATGCTAATGGTGTGCACCGGGCGGCTTAACCGGGGCGACCGTGCTGTGGTTAGGTTACTTAGGGCAGCCAAATACGCGCGTGCGTATCTCGTGCACTGGTACCTGCTTCTGCTGATCCGATCCGCGTGCTCAATAGTCAATGCGCTCGTCAGCATTTACGGACGGCCCAGTACGAACTACGACCAGCAAACCACAGTGTCCGCGGTTTGGAAAAGATACGGAGCACCAGGATCCATTACGGTAGCAAAACGCTCCAAGCTTTTCCACACAGCCGTCAACGAGGATTTACGCGGTCCGACTTCCGAAACGAATGCCCCTCGGGTGCGAAGTTCATACATATGAGGTCATAACACACGCTTCGGGAGCCGATGCGGCCTAAACCGTGTCAGGTCACGGGGCTTTGACGTCATCCTGTGCGCTTTGGGCCGCTGCGGGCAGCGCCCGGAGCTTGATGTGCCCCGGCTGGAGCCGATCAATGGCACGTGACGCGGAAGTCGGCCGCGTGACGCGAGTGGAGACTTCTTAACGGTGGAATTCCACGGAGTACGATCACAAACACTCGAATGAGCGACTGCCAGACTGACATCCTGCATCGTGCATGCCGTTTTAAACAGCTTGATATGGTTTTTCATGTTCATCTTCATGCCGCGCTTAACGACGATAAGAAATCATGCGACTACGAGAAGCATTTTAAGAACGCCAAGCGGCCGTTTTGAGCTGCGTTAAGTCCAACGGTAACGTGCACAAATCACATGTTGTGCCTACTGGAACTTGTCCTGTTGTTACTTCGCCCGCCCCACAGGCGCATATCCGTCCCCGAACTATCATTTAACTTACAGGTCACAGCGCCATTGGAAGCATTGCCATCAGCTGTATGACAAGCGTGTCTCCGGGATGGACGAAGCCAATGCATTACAGGGCCAGGAAAGCCTCCTTCCCCCGCTTGGCCCGGTCGCGAGCGCGCGGCGGCACCTACAAAGGTCCGCCTGGTCGCGCGCCAGGCCTTTCGGCATGTTCACTGCCGCGCCGCGCGGCGCATTCGGCTAAAACACGGCGGAGAACACATAAACACACATGCAGCGCGCAATCGATCAGCGGCGAACACGTCCGGCGCCGCCCAGAGCCGGAGCCGGAGCCGGAGCCGGAGCCGGGCCCTGCCGCCCAGACCCGGCTCGACAGGGAGATGACGGCTGCGTCGAGACCTGGCAGCGCAGCCGGGCGGCGCGGCAGCCGGCGCGGTCGGGGTGGTCCGCCGGTGGCAGCGCGACAAAGGCGCAAGGCACGCCGCCAGGTGGCGACGCTGGCGTGCCTGCCGAGCCGGCCGGCTCTCCGCTGCAGCCGTTACCGGCAGCATTTGCACCGCCAGCCGTACGTGGTACTGAAAGGCGCTCGTCGACACAGATGTTTTCCAGGCCAGCAGTGCCTCGGCAGATGTTTAGCGGGCTCTGATTTTGGTCATGGTGAGCACGTCACGGTTTGTGGGCGGGTGGTGTGACGCACGACAACTTTTCTCACACTCAAAGTTCATGAGAACTTCTGACCCAGACCGGTCTTATTCCGGAAGGCAAGCCAATCCTTCTGAGCCCATGTCAACAGACTGCTTCCGGCGCCTATCTCTCAGCCTGCACATGACCTCCAACACAACCTCCAGCAGAATGACCTCCAGGTGGCAGAACAGAGCGACTGGAGCCCAAGCCGTCTGAGCGCGTCACCGAGGAACGAATAACCTGGTCATTTCTCGTTCTTAAAAGGAGAAAACGACATACGTCGTCACATTCCTTTTGTGGAGCACCAGCGACTTCACTGGCCATATCAACATTCAAGGGTCATGGCGCAACCGGGATTCGAACCTGGGCCTCCCATATGACAGTCCGACAGGACAACCACTCGGTCATTACGCCCCCTGTCATTGCTCCACAAAATGGTCATCGCTCAGTTATTTCCCATTATATGTGTACAATGCATAGAAGCACCCTCACAACTTAGTTCGTGCGCTACATCAACAATTAGCCCGGTGAGCGCTCTGTCCCGCATCCCACTGACGGGAAGCACACCCCCCGCGGCCCATCAGTGGCGGTGGCGCGGCCCATCAGCGGCGGCCCGCCTGGGTGCAGCACACACCAGGGAACCGGAGTCGATCCCCGGCAGCCGGCCACGGTCGGAAGTGTCGGCCGGGCCGGCGACGCCCCGACAGCACCGCACCACACAGCGGCGCGTGCTGCAGCGCCCAGGGCCATCCTCAACTCAGCGCTATGCAATAAGCGAGGTTCTGGTACGTGTTTGTTCAAATATTCGGACATGCAGCAGGTAGCATCATTCTTTTCCAGAAAGGTGGTGCTGACGCCAGGTCCTGGTACGAGCTAGATCGCGGGTCGATGACTCTTCCTTGAACTTTAATAAAACTCTAAAACGCACTAGATCTGCCTGGCCATGCCGCCAAACTTGCTGGAAAAAACATCTTTGAAAACACTCATGTGGTTTAAAAAAACACTGTGATTATGCTATCCTGCATGAACGGTCACAAATCTCCACGCAAGTTAACTGACATGCGAATTTTACCAGCAGCATTTCAATGTCAAAAATATTTCTCGTCTCACAACAGTTGACAAGAAAAAGGCAAAATTTTCAGCCTGCGCAAAAGCTGAAGGAACCAAATCGGAGCCGAATCCAGCTCCCGCCGCACCGGCGCCGCAGCCCGCAACACTAACATGGAGAACTCGGCCCGTCACATGGAGTGGGGCAAGGCGTGCAGGCAGCCGCGCGCCCGCACACGCAAACAATGGGGTCTGCACGTCCTGGGTCATTTTTCAGGATTGTTGTCAGATTCCAGCAGCAAGAGAAGATAAAGACGTTGAACTAAGAAAACGTTGTAAGCCAGTGGACCTGCTACAACTCGTCGGCGAACATCAAAGCCGTCCGACCCATGGAACCGAGCGGGCGGCGGCCAGTGTCATCTGTTTGGAAACCTACCTCCGATGCAAGACCTTGTTGGCTTTTTCGTGTTTGTGTGTATGTGTATATGCGGCATTGAGGCTTTACGACGCAATATGCTGCTGAGGCTAGGTGGCGTCGCCTGCCTCCCACTCTGGCGGGAAGGCCGGGCACCGTGGGGAATGGAACCCCGTACCTCTGGTTTCCCAGACGTGCAATAGTCACCGCAGACGCGTTAGCCGCCCCACTATCGGCACCCTGTTATAAGCTTAATCGAGAAGCTGTTTTTAACACGTTGTTTGATACATTCAACTCACAGGTACGTGTGGGCTGTCGTGTGGGGTGGGGTGTCACAGCTTAATACTTTCGCCAGCATCTCGGATTACTCGGGCCAGGCGCTTTATGACCTCATTTTGTAAATATGCCAATAACCCATTTGCGAGGTCATGTGATTGTTGGACCATATTATCAATCATAGGTCCGCACCACACCACACGGCACGCACAGCCCAGCTGGCCTATCCAAATCTTGGGACACTACGCCGGTACTCGATGTTCGAAACTATTTGGGGGGGGGGCATCTGCAGCACATAGTGATGGCACCCAGATGGCGGCAATCTTAAGCAACAATGAAAGCAAGGGTTGGGAGGCTAGGAGATAATGGCAAAAACATGTTCTGAATATGTTCTGAATAGGCATGAGCAATGACAAAATGTGCTGCAGTGCAATAGCAGCCCATTCACCTATTGGGTAGATCCCCACACAAATACTGCAAATGGAAACAGAGCAGCATTTACCCAGCACATGAAAGTTCATGGCTTTCAACCAGTGCTTGGGGGGGGGGGAGGGGTTGCAAATAGGTCCAAATGCTTCCTGCTCTTCCCAGAAAATTTGTGTTTCTGCCATGACCTGAGAAAATTATGTTTTCAAAGAGCACTTACAAATTGATGTCATAGTTGGGCCATTAAAAGGGCAGACCATCCTGCTGCCAGGTTATTGAAATTATGAATGCCAGATGGAATATTGCCATAATCATCTCCACCTGCAGACAATGTGGCAGTGTCTCACAGCTTATAACTTACCAGTAATGTAGAGTGTGGCTGCATTCCTTCACAGGTGGTAGAATCGCCTTCACCTTTTGCCGCTGTGGACTTTCTGCAGCCATACTGATATGCAACTTTGATGGAACAATCTGAAAACACAAGCTCATTAGCCCTGAGAAACAACAATTAACTGACCAGTGACTAATTATCTTAAATAATTGAGTCAAATGACCACAAAAGCTTTGTGAGATACACACATAGCCCACAAAATGGAAAACTACAAGAGTTTTTGATAAGCCAGCCATCAGCTCAGTGGCTGGAGCAATCATAGAAGATCTGAGGTATGACTTTCATAAGGCTGCTTGGTTGGCAGCTTCAGTAACTTCCCTCTCATGTAAGCTCTTGCCCCATGAAGACCTTTGGATATTCAATACATAGATATTGTTTACAGATATGCTGGACTGTTTCAAAAGACTGCATGCCAACTTGCCACTTAAAAGGTTCCAATGCATCATTCTCTCAATAAAGGTCATCTGACAATTCAATTATTACCCTCTGTGTGCAGTACCTACAAAATATGATGGTTGAGACAGAAATAATCAAGGAAAGGAATTAAGGAAGTGATACTAATGTCATACAACAAGCACCATTTGTCATTTGATTTCCATAATTTTACTGCTTTATAAGAATTTTTGAATCCAGAGTTACAAATAAATTGATGGAATCTCAGGACAAATGCCAGAATGTCATGTGTTAAGGCAATCTAACAAAATGCATTACAGAATGTAAAAAGTAGTAGTCACATGATGTAAAAAAATTATTGATGCTAACCACAACACATAACTGAGATGCATACCTATTGCTCAATTATATCATATCCTTCTAGGCATGCAGGCACCCAGATGGCACAGACTGGTGCGCATGCTCCGCTCCAGATGGGAAATGGCCTGTTCAACCCACCTCATACAGAATCTGCCTCACTTAAGCTAATGAAGCTATCAGTTATTGGTCTAAGTAACCTGGAAGTTCATGCTTTCACAGGATACTGATATTGCTATGTTTTCCTTCTGATTTGATGAACCAGACATTATCACAGCTTACCTCTTCAGACTAAATCAGTTTATGTTTCAAGTTGGTGCCACACAGATGCTATGAAAAAATAGCTCAGATGTGGTAGCTGTGTTGAGTTGCATTTACTGGTCACCACAAAATCAGAAAAGCCTAACTCATGTCCAGTCAGGATTTTTATCAAGAGCTTATTCTTTGTTGTTTATCAATGCATTCCTAAAATCTTTAATATTGCAACTTCTGAATGACTGTATCTGGTGACCCAAAATCATGGGGTCAAAATGCATTGCGAGCCCTCTCAATTAAAAACTGGGAGCAGGCCAATATGGCTTTCATCCCAGTAGCTCAGCTTTACTAAGACAGGGATGTTTGATTACATTCTGCTGGACACAGTTTGAGGACAACTTGCAGTTCAGTGCAATCAGTTTCAAAAATCAGCCTGAAAGGGCCCTCCCACCTTGAAAACCCTCCAATCTTTGATGCCACCTGATGACAATATCCAAGCAACACAAGCAAAGCAGATAGATGCCAGTACTTTCACCTGCCCCCAATGGAAATAAGAAGATCCAAACACAACAAAAAAGCAATATTAAGGGACCCCTAGCCAAAACGTCAGCATCAGTCTTCTCCAAGCAGTACCCCTCCTTTTTTGGAAGGTGCCAATTTTCTTCCCGCAAAAAACGATGGGTAGAACTTGGAAGTAGCCCATGTGTCAACCCATTGTAGAGCCACACGGGGATACTTAAAACTTCTTACCAACGTAACGTACAAAATACGACACCCAGTGACAGCTTTACAGCTCGCTTCTTGCCTTCCTTTCTAAAGAGCAGCAGCAGCCGCAGCAGCAGCACAACACAGGGATTGCCACTTCACACCGCAGTCGGGACACCCCGACGCCTCCAACCACGCCTCCCGCATTCAAACACAACACTGTGGAGCAAGGCCGTGTAAGGGGCGCCGGATCGGCCGGCGATTTTAGCACCCCATCCGGTCAGCGCTAGCGTGACGTCATTGAAGCTTTCCCCTCAGCGGACGCTGCGCGCGGCCTTATGCGTTGCGCAATCTTCCGAACGGAATCATTGCTTACCTGTTGGTTTAAGTCACCTCGAACACTGCATGTTAACTCAAGAGTGAGTATCTATTCGTTTTTTGGTATTTATGCGGACGTCGTCAAGAAATTAAAGTCACTTTATCAAAAGGTGACCTCTGTGTGGATTCGGAAACCTTAACTGTGTTTGTAGTTTTCATTTCAATTGGGGGGCCTTAGCCCTTCCTCGAACTTGGGCTCCAGTTTCCTTCCCCCAAATTGTGACAGAAATTGGACCAAGTCTAGTAACCTGGTTGTTGGCATATTTTCAATACAGCAAGTCAGGCTTACACAGTCATGCTCATCGTTCTCGCTCCTTCGCCGCCGTCGGTTTCTGTGTCACCCACTCGCGGGCGCTCACGGCCCTCGAAACAGGTCAGCCTGGAGGTCAAACAGTCCTGAATCTCGAGTCCGGGCTTTCCGGCTGAGCTTGTTCAGACAGCTTGTGATACACTAGCTGTGAACCACGATGGTTAGCGCGATATTTCCAGAGCAGGCCTCAGGTGCATGGCAGGGAGACAAGTCCCGCTTTGACCTCAGTAGCCTCCGCACAGAGTCCGCACCATATGTCCCAAGGTGGTCACTGATGCCTCGGCAGGCTCCGTACAGTCAGGCAAGGCGTCCTGCTGTGATCTCCGCAGGCTCCACAAAGATCCCAGGTCATGCGTCCAAAGGCGGTCCCTGTGACCTCAGCAGACTCCTGACACAGCTCACCTCATGCGTTCCAAGGTGCTATATGATTATAAGTCAACCCACAGCTCAATTCAAGTGTCTCAAAAAGGCCGTTGCCACCCCAGTCGGTCCCACATAGGTAGGTCAGGTCCGGTGTCATAAATCGGCCGGAGTTCCGGCCCTTTGCTATTTGCCTGAGGCAGTGTGAACAGGAGTTGTTGCGTCCCGTTCAGGCAGTTCAGGTGGCAGGCATCGCCTGCCTGCGATGTGCTCCGTGTATGTGCATACGTAGCACGCCTAGCTCTTTAGGGATACGCACAGTAAAGTGGGTTTCCGTACACAAATGGTATGCTAAAAATCTTAAAATCTGGTAGCCGGACTTCAGCGATTTTTTTTTTGGGGGGGGGCGGGGAGGCTGAACTCTAGGGGGGCCACAATGCTGCGTGTCCCCCACGAAATCCTAGATCTGCCCCTGGTCCCAATATGATCTGATTATCAAAACGCTCTATGCCGACGCTGGGGCACCTCAGTGAATCCGGCTGGGCAGTGGCCAGTCCTCAAGTTACGCACTTCGGGGGACGACACCGGAGCCGTGCCCAGCACAGCCAAAAACGACATGCAGGACCACTCACGCCTCGCTACGAGCTTCTCACCGCTCCTCACTCCCGAGACAAGAGGACTGTGCATAAACTCCCTGGAGTTCCAAACGCGTCACGTCGTAAATACCGCAAACATCAAGAGAGTGCAGAGGTAGTTGCCGCAGTTTAAAAACATCAGAGCGACCACGCAACCAGTGCCGTGTGTGGCGTGGTGCTAGTTACGCCACCATCTTGTAAATCCGGCTGGTGGCGTCGCGCGATCTACAGTTCCGCGATGCTGGTACGTCAGCACCGGCCGCGCCCAGCGTAATAAAAGCGTGTCGCACCAGCAACGGACGGCAGCGACAGCGGATAGCCCACACGTCTCAGTGAGTAGTTTGAACGGAGTGAGCCAAACATGGCTGGCAATGCAGCAGTCCCACAGCTCACGAACGAATCGCCACCGGCGAGCCACGCAAGCTAGCGGGACACCAGTCCGAGCCAGCGGGAGGCCCCGCCCGTCGGCAGGAATCGCATGCACCAGTCGTGCCGCAAATGCAACCTTGTTTAACACTTTAGTCAATCTTTAAAGCATTAAACACTGCGCCAGATGCGATATTTCCGGCGCGATGTGGCGACGGAACCAGCGGCGCAGCAGCGGCGGAACCGGAATGCTCCAATGACGTCATCGCCCTGTACTGAACCGTTCGGCATCTCACCAATGCGAAATACCATCCCCCCCCCCCCCCGCTACTATTCAGTTTTGTGGCAGCGAAAAAATTGCTCTATCTGAAAGTTTTTCAGTGGATTTTCTCCACCGGTGACGATTCTTAACCACCGGCATAAATGCGCATGCGCAGATCAGCCTGCAACTAGATCATTCTAGGATGCTCTGATCTGGGGCTGTGTGACCGTGCTCCTATTCAAACAGGACTAGGTGAGGCCGCTCGTTCCGTTCCAAGACAAACTGTCGTATGGCGTTAAACCAAATGTCATTTCACTTCACGTGGAAGACCTGTACGTTTTACCGCTGTCCTTTGCCGGCATGTTAAAAGGACAAGCGGCTAAAAGGCGGAGATAATAGTGACGTCTGTGTGGTTGCTGACGTGCAAGTCGTCGAAGAGCAAATCAGTAGAGATCCTAATTAGCCGAAAATTAATTAGTCGTAAATGTTGACTTGTCGAGTGCCAATGTATCGAAATAGGATTTAGGCGAATGGCAATTGAACGAATGGGAGATCGCCAAATGGACAATCGACCGAATGCCTGTTTGCGAAATTGAGCCTGGCGAATGACAATGCGATGAACGCAAATTTTTCGTACAGTCAATTAGCCAAATTAGCTTGGCTGAAAGGCGGCTCAGGCGATTGAAGATCATCTGAGGTGCGCAAGGTCGTAAGGTGCAGTCGATGACAAACACTACGCATAGATAGGAAGTGGTAGGCTAAAAGTGATGAACAGTGTTAAGGACGTAGAGCAATTTTGTTTGATTTTGTTTCCCTGCCTCTTGGTAAAACTGGAGGGGCTGATTGAACAACAACCCACACCCTGTTGACCAGACGTGGCGTTACGTGTCACATCTGTCAATGTCTACTTATACCCATCCGACGATGCTAATAATTCTACTACTATTACTTTTCTATTCGGCTGCTTTTCTAGTTAGCGCCGTTTGTCGTATTGTCGTAGCCTTCTCAGTTCTTGAGTCTGGCGGTAACATAAACGACATTATTAAGTGCTAACTGGACTCCTATACCCTGATGTGACCCGTCAAATGTCACATTCGCCACTGTTAAGTCCAATATATCCATGCAGCTTCATCAGAGCTTTTCATTGCCGTCATTCCAATCTCGTGGCACTAACTCACTTGGTTTTCCGCTTCTGGTCTCCTTCACAAGGTGAATGTGGAAAAAAACCTCCGTGGGGCAACGGTTATATTAAGAGTCCGCATCAGTGTACAATCTGTTAACAGCATTTCAACTTATGCACATTCGACTAAAGAACATTTGGCTGATTAGCATTCAGTTAAAGAACGGATCGGCATATTGTCATTTCACTTAAGGTCATTTACATGAATTGACATTCGACTAAAGACCAGTTCAGTAAATTGGCGTTCGGTATATTGTAACTCGGCCATCGACTATTATCCGTGGATTCTGTAAACATTCGTCGATTTGATACGCCAGCTCAAAGGCGTGCCGGCGAATTACTATTCGACTCTTCATTTCGCCGTATTGTCACAAACAGCAGACCCAAACAAACAAAATATGCCGACAACGTAGCCTTCGTTTAAAGCGAATGTTTCACATTCGAAGACATTGAAACGAACATGAAATATGTTAGAATGAGCTCATTTATAACTTTTGATATACTTTCATGTGGAAAGGCTGTTATGGGCAACAAAATATCCTTGTTTAGTAAATGTGTTGTTAAATACGTCATAGTTCCATTGCGTCATCGTAACCTTCATAACATTGACTGAGAGCTAATTGGCCGCCGTTGTACCTTGAATGCGTACTCACGAACGTCAGATATGAATGACTCGACCACTATATTTTTCTTGGCCTTGATCGTCGCGCGACTTGCGAAATGACAGAATTTGAATGACGTTTTATGACGTCATGAATGTCAAGGTGACCTTGAAATACTATCCCGAAATAGTCTCCCCATTTCCGTGGCGCAAAGCATAGAAACTAGAGGGCTCTAGGTCTTAAGGACAGGCTGTGAACTGCACTAGAAGGTCTTGAAGATGCCTGTTTCAGTTCAAAACCCCAGACAAATGTAGAACTTTCTCTTTAAATGTATTTGAATGACATTTCACTCAGTGCATTTCGGTTATTGCTTTGGATGCTGAACTTGCTTTGTGCTGATCCAAAACCGGTTAGTACGGTTGGTTGGTTGATTGGGTGGTCTGTTGATTGGCAGGCTTCTCGTTGGCTGCCTGGCTGGTCCGTTGGCTGACCGGATGGTTGAGTTGTTGGTCGATCGGTCGGTCAGTCCGTTGCTGGTTGGTTGGTTAGTTGGTCGGTTGGTTGGTTGGTTGGTCGGTTGGTTGGTTGGTCGGTTGGTTGGTTTGCTGGCTGTTCTGTTGGTTGGATGACTGGCTGGTCCGTTGGTTGGTTGGTTGGTCGGTTGGTTGGTTGGCTGGCTGGTTGGCTGGTTGGTTGGCTGGTTGAATGGCTGGTTGGTTGGTTTGTTCGTCGGTTGGCTGGTTGGTCCGCTGGTTGATTGGCTGTTCCGCTGGTTGGATCGTTGGTTGGTCCGTTGGTTGATTGGTCGGGTGGTAGTTTGGTTGGTTGGTTGGTTGGTTGGTTGGTTAGTTGGTTGGCTGTTCCGCTGGTTGGATCGTTGGCTGGTCCGTTGGTTGGTTGGTTGGTCGGATAGTTGGTTGGTTGGTTGGTCAGTCGGCTGGTTAGCTGGTTGGTTAGTTGGTTGGTTGGCTGTTCCGCTGGTTGGATCGTTGGCTGGTCTGTTGGTTGGTTGGTCGGGTGGTTGGTTAGTTGGATGGTTGGTTGGTGGGTTGGATTATGCGGGCCCTATGCTGGCACATTATTGGGTCCCGGTGATTGCATGTCGTGCTGACTC